TTGAAGATTCACGGGTAAAAAGCCCCAAACTTCTAGATAGGTTCTTTTTCAGCTTTCAGCAGCCCTGGGCGAGTTCTTTAGAGAAATGTGGGTCTTTTTCTTGGTGCTCTTGTCTATGTCCAGTTATACAACGAGATGAGGATGGTCATTGTCATTTTCTGAGCTGCGAACGGGCAGAAAGGTGAGAAAATGTCGGATTTTGACCATTTGTGCAGACCTTTCAATTTCAACGTACCTCTCTATAACATGACCCAGCTGTAATTTCAGTGGTCGCATTGGTTTGATTTTTGGTTTGCTTGTAGGGCGCTGGCACCCGCATTCAGTGACTCAGAAAATTTGGCACTGCTGTGAATAGTTTAGTCGCAAAGTGAAGATTCACGGGTAAAAAGCCCCAAACTTCTAGATAGGTTCTTTTTCAGCTTTCAGCAGCCCTGGGCGAGTTCTTTAGAGAAATGTGGCTCTTTTTCATGGTGTTATTTTCTATGTCCAGCTACACAACGAGATGAGGATGGTCATTGTCATTTTCTGAGCTGCGAACGGGCAGAAAGGTGAGAAAATGTCGGATTTTGACCATTTGTGCTGACCTTTCAATTTCAACGTACCTCTCTATAACATGACCCAGCTGTAAATTCAGTGGTCGCATTGGTTTCATTTTTGGTTTGCTTGTAGGGCGCTGGCAACCGCATTCAGTGACCCAGAAAATTTGGCACTGCTGTGAATAGTTTAGTCGCAAAGTGAAGATTCACGGGTAAAAAGCCCCAAACTTCTAGATAGGTTCTTTTTCAGCTTTCAGCAGCCCTGGGCGAGTTCTTTAGAGAAATGTGGGTCTTTTTCTTGGTGCTCTTGTCTATGTCCAGCTACACAACGAGATGAGAATGTTCATTGTCATTTCATAAGCTGCGAACGGGCAGAAAGGTGAGAAAATGTCGGATTTTGACCATTTGTGCTGACCTTTCAATTTCAACGTACCTCTCTACAACATGACCCAGCTGTAATTTGAGTGGTCGCATTTGTTTGATTTTCGGTTGGCTTGTAGGGCGCTGGCACCCGCAATCAGTGACCCAGAAAATTTGGCACTGCTGTGAATAGTTTAGTCGCAAAGTGAAGATTCACGGGCAACAAGCCACAAACTTCTAGATAGGTTCTTTTTCAGCTTTCATCAGCCCTGGGCGAGTTCTTTAGAGAAATGTGGGTCTTTTTCTTGGTGCTCTTGTCTATGTCCAGCTACACAACAAGATGAGGATGGTCATTGTCATTTTCTGAGCTGCGAACGGGTAGAGAGGTGAGAAAATGTCGGATTTTGACCATTTGTGCTGACCTTTTAATTTCAACGTACCTCTCTATAACATGACCCAGCTGTATTTTCAGTGGTCGCACTGGTTTCATTTTTGGTTTGCTTGTAGGGCGCTGGCACCCGCATTCAGTGACCCAGAAAATTTGGCACTGCTGTGAATAGTTTAGTCGCAAAGTGAAGATTCACGGGTAAAAAGCCCCAAACTTCTAGATAGGTTCTTTTTCAGCTTTCAGCAGCCCTGGGCGAGTTCTTTAGAGAAATGTGGGTCTTTTTCTTGGTGCTCTTGTCTATGTCCAGCTACACAACGAGATGAGGATGGTCATTGTCATTTTCTGAGCTGCGAACGGGCAGAAAGGTGAGAAAATGTCGGATTTTGACCATTTGTGCTGACCTTTCAATTTCAACGTACCTCTCTATAACATGACCCAGCTGTATTTTCAGTGGTCGCATTGGTTTCATTTTTGGTTTGCTTGTAGGGCGCTGGCACCCGCATTCAGTGACCCAGAAAATTTGGCACTGCCGTGAATAGTTTAGTCGCAAAGTGAAGATTCACGGGTAAAAAGCCCCAAACTTCTAGATAGGTTCTTTTCAGCTTTCAGCAGCACTGGGCGAGTTCTTTAGAGAAATGTGGGCTTCTTGGTGCTCTTCTCTATGTCCAGCTATACAACGAGATGAGGATGGTCATTGTCATTTTCTGAGCTGCGAACGGGCAGAAAGGTGAGAAAATGTCGGATTTTGACCATTTGTGCAGACCTTTCAATTTCAACGTACCTCTCTATAACATGACCCAGCTGTAATTTCAGTGGTCGCATTGGTTTCATTTTTGGTTTGCTCGTAGGGCGCTGCCACCCGCATTCAGTAACCCAGAAAATTTGGGACTGCTGTAAATAGTTTAGTCGCAAAGTGAAGATTCACGGCTAAAAAGCCCCAAACTTCTAGATACGTTCTTTTTCAGCTTTCAGCAGCCCTGGGCAAGTTCTTTAGAGAAATGTGGGTCTTTTTCTTGGTGCTCTTGTCTATGTCCAGCTACACAACGAGATGAGAATGGTCATTGTCATTTTCTGAGCTGCGAACGGGCAGAAAGGTGAGAAAATGTCGGATTTTGAACATTTGTGCTGACCTTTCAATTTCAACGTACCTCTCTATAACATGACCCAGCTGTAATTTCAGTGGTCGCATTGGTTTCATTTTTGGTTTGCTTGTAGGGCGCTGGCACCCGCATTCAGTGACCCAGGAAATTTGGCACTGCTAAGAATAGTTTAGTCGCAACGTGAAGATTCACGGGTAAAAAGCCCCAAACTTCTAGATAGGTTCTTTTTCAGCTTTCAACAGCCCTGGGCGAGTTCTTTAGAGAAATGTGGCTCTTTTTCATGGTGCTATTTTCTATGTCCAGCTACACAACGAGATGAGGATGGTCATTGTCATTTTCTGAGCTGCGAACGGGCAGAAAGGTGAGAAAATGTCGGATTTTGACCATTTGTGCTGACGTTTCAATTTCAACGTACCTCTCTATAACATGACCCAGCTGTAATTTCAGTGGTCGCATTGGTTTCATTTTTGGTTTGCTTGTAGGGCGCTGGCACCCGCATTCAGTGACCCAGAAAATGTGGCACTGCTGTGAATAGTTTAGTCGCAAAGTGAAGATTCACGGGTAAACAGCCCCAAACTTCTAGATAGGTTCTTTTTCAGCTTTCAGCAGCCCTGGGTAAGTTCTTTAGAAAAATGTGGCTCTTTTTCATGGTGCTATTTTCTATGTCCAGCTACACAACGAGATGAGGATGGCCATTGTCATTTTCTGAGCTGCGAACGGGCAGAAAGGTGAGAAAATGTCGGATTTTGACCATTTGTGCTGACCTTTCAATTTCAACGTACCTCTCTATAACATGACCCAGCTGTAATTTCAGTGGTCGCATTGGTTTCATTTTTGATTTGCTTGTAGAGCGCTGGCACCCGCATTCAGTGACCCTAAAAATTTGGCACTGCTGTGAATAGTTTAGTCGCAAAGTGAAGATTCACGGGTAAAAAGCCCCAAACTTCTAGGTAGGTTCTTTTTCAGCTTTCAGCAGCCCTGGGTGAGTTCTTTAGAGAAATGTGGCTCTTTTTCATGGTGCTATTTTCTATGTCCAGCTACACAACGAGATGAGGATGGTCATTGTCATTTTCTGAGCTGCGAACGGGCAGAAAGGTGAGAAAATGTCGGATTTTGACCATTTGTGCTGACCTTTCAATTTCAACGTACCTCTCTATAACATGACCCAGCTGTAATTTCAGTGGTCGCATTGGTTTCATTTTTGGTTTGCTTGTAGGGCGCTGGCACCCGCATTCAGTGACCCAGAAAATTTGGCACTGCTGTGAATAGTTTAGTCGCAAAGTGAAGATTCACGGGTAAAAAGCCCCAAACTTATAGATAGGTTCTTTTTCAGCTTTCAGCAGCCCTGGGCGAGTTCTTTAGAGAAATGTGGCTCTTTTTCATGGTGCTATTTTCTATGTCCAGCTACACAACGAGATGAGCATAGTCATTGTCATTTTCTGAGCTGCGAACGGGCAGAAAGGTGAGAAAATGTCGGATTTTGACCATTTGTGCTGACGTTTCAATTTCAACGTACCTCTCTATAACATGACCAAGCTGTAATTTCAGTGGTCGCATTGGTTTGATTTTTGGCTTGCTTGTAGGGCGCTGGCACCCGCATTCAGTGACCCTAAAAATTTGGCACTGCTGTGAATAGTTTAGTCGCAAAGTGAAGATTCACGGGTAAACAGGCCCAAAATTCTAGATAGGTTCTTTTTCAGCTTTCAGCAGCCCTGGGTGAGTTCTTTAGAAAAATGTGGCTCTTTTTCATGGTGCTATTTTCTATGTCCAGCTACACAACGAGATGAGGATGGCCATTGTCATTTTCTGAGCTGCGAACGGGCAGAAAGGTGAGAAAATGTCGGATTTTGACCATTTGTGCTGACCTTTCAATTTCAACGTACCTCTCTATAACATGACCCAGCTGTAATTTCAGTGGTCGCATTGGTTTCATTTTTGATTTGCTTGTAGAGCGCTGGCACCCGCATTCAGTGACCCTAAAAATTTGGCACGTCTGTGAATAGTTTAGTCGCAAAGTGAAGATTCACGGGTAAAAAGGCCCAAAATTCTAGGTAGGTTCTTTTTCAGCTTTCAGCAGCCCTGGGTGAGTTCTTTAGAGAAATGTGGCTCTTTTTCATGGTGCTATTTTCTATGTCCAGCTACACAACGAGATGAGGATGGTCATTGTCATTTTCTGAGCTGCGAACGGGCAGAAAGGTGAGAAAATGTCGGATTTTGACCATTTGTGCTGACCTTTCAATTTCAACGTACCTCTCTATAACATGACCCAGCTGTAATTTCAGTGGTCGCATTGGTTTCATTTTTGGTTTGCTTGTAGGGCGCTGGCACCCGCTTTCAGTGACCCAGAAAATTTGGCACTGCTGTGAATAGTTTAGTCGCAAAGTGAAGATTCACGGGTAAAAAGCCCCAAACTTATAGATAGGTTCTTTTTCAGCTTTCAGCAGCCCTGGGCGAGTTCTTTAGAGAAATGTGGCTCTTTTTCATGGTGCTATTTTCTATGTCCAGCTACACAACGAGATGAGCATAGTCATTGTCATTTTCTGAGCTGCGAACGGGCAGAAAGGTGAGAAAATGTCGGATTTTGACCATTTGTGCTGACCTTTCAATTTCAACGTACCTCTCTATAACATGACCCAGCTGTAATTTCAGTTGTCGCATTGGTTTGATTTTTGGCTTGCTTGTAGGGCGCTGGCACCCGCATTCAGTGACCCAGAAAATTTGGCACTGCTGTGAATAGTTTAGTCGCAAAGTGAAGATTCACGGGTAAAAAGGCCCAAAATTCTAGATAGGTTCTTTTTCAGCTTTCAGCAGCCCTGGGTAAGTTCTTTAGAGAAATGTGGCTCTTTTTCATTGTGCTATTTTCTATTTCCGGCTACACAACGAGATGAGGATGGTCATTGTCATTTTCTGAGCTGCCAACGGGCAGAAAGGTGAGAAAATGTCGGATTTTGACCATTTGTGTTGCCCTTTCAATTTCAACGTACCTCTCTATAACATGACCCAGCTGTAATTTCAGTGGTCGCATTGGTTTCATTTTTGGTTTGCTTGTAGGGCGCTGGCACCTGCATTCAGTGACCCAGAAAATTTGGCACGTCTGTGAATAGTTTAGTCGCAAAGTGAAGATTCACGGGTAAAAAGGCCCAAAATTCTAGATATTTTCTTTTTCAGCTTTCAGCAGCCCTGGGTGAGTTCTTTAGAGTAATGTGACTCTTTTTAATGGTGCTCTTGTCTATGTCCAGCTAACCAACGAGATGAGGATGGTCATTGTCATTTTCTAAGCTGCGAACGGGCAGAAAGGTGAGAAAATGTCGGATTTTGCCCATTTGTGCTGACCTTTCACTTTCAACGTACCTCTCTATAACATGACCCAGCTGTAATGTCAGAGGTGGCATTGGTTTCATTTTTGGTTTGCTTGTAGGGCGCTGGCACCCACAATCAGTGACCCTAAAAATTTGGCACTGCTATGAATAGTTTAGTCGCAAAGTGAAGATTCACGGGTAAAAAGCCCCAAACTTCTAGATAGGTTCTTTTTCAGCTTTTAGCAGCCCTGGGCGAGTTCTTTAGAGAAATGTGACTCTTTTTCATGGTGCTCTTGTCTATGTCCAGCTACACAACGAGATGAGGATGGTCAATGTTATTTTTTGACTTGCGAAAGGGGAGAAAGGTGAGAAAATGTCGGATTTTGACCATTTGTGCTGACCTTTTAATTTCAACGTACCTTTCTATAACATGACCCAGCTGTAATGTCAGCGGTCGCATTGGTTTCATATTTGGTTTGCTTGTAGAGCGCTGGCACCCACAATCAGTGACCCTAATAATTTGGCACTGCTGTGAATAGTTTAGTCGCCAAGTGAAGATTCACGGGTAAAAAGCCCCAAACTTTGAAATAGGTTATTATTCAGCTTTCAGCAGCCCAGGGCAGGTTCTTTAGAGAAATGTGGGTCTTTTTCTGGGTGCCCTTGTCTATGTCCAGCTACACAACGAGATGAGGATGGTCATTGTCAGTTTCTCAGCTGCGAACGGGCATAAAGGTGAAAAAATGTCGGATTTTGACCAGTTGTGCTCACCTTTCAATTTCAACGTACCTCTCTATAACACGACACAGCTGGAATGTCAGTGGTCGCATTAGTTTGATTTTTGGTTTGCTTGTAGGGCGCTGGCACCCACTTTCAATGACCCAGAAAATTTGGCACTGCTGTGAATAGTTTAGTCGCAAAGTGAAGATTCACGGGTACCAAGCCCTAAACTTGGAGATAGGTTATTATTCAGCTTTCAGCAGCCTTAGGCGAGTTCTATAGAGAAAAGTGACTGTTTCTCTTGGTGCCCTCGTCTATGTCCAGCTACACAACCAAAATAAATATGGTCATTTTCATTTTCTGAGCTGCGAACGGGCATAAAGGTGAGAAAATGTCGAATTTTGACCATTTTTGCTCACCTTCCAATTTCAACGTACCTCTCTATAACATGACACAGCTATGATGTCAGTGGTCGCATAGGTTTGATTTTGGGTTTGCTTGTAGGGCGCTGGCACCCACAGTCAGTGACCCAAAAAAAATAGCACTGCTGTGAATAGTTTAGTCGCAAAGTGAAGATTCACTGGTAAAAAGCCCCAAACTTTGAGATAGGTTATTATTCAGCTTTCAGCAGCCCAGGGCGAGTTCTTTAGAGAAATGTGGCTGTTTTTCATGGTGCCCTTGTATATGTCCAGCTACACAACGAGATGAGGATGGTCATTGTCAATTTCTGAGCTGCGAACGGGCATACAGGTGAGAAAATGTCGGATTGTGACCATTTGTGCTCACCTTCCAATTTCAATGTACCTCTCTATAACATGACACAGCTGTAATGTCAGTGGTCGCATTGGGTTTTTTTTGTTTTGCTTGTAGGGCACTAGCACGCACATTCAGTGACCCAGAAAAATTGGCACTGCTGTCATTAGTTTAGTCGCAAAGTGAAGATTCACGGGTAAAAAGTCCTAAACTTTCAGATGGGTTATTATTCAGCTTTCAGCAGCCCAAGGCAGGTTCTTTAGACAAATGTGGGTCCTTCTCTGGGTGCCCTTGTCTATGTCCAGCTACACAACGAGATGAGGATGGTCATTGTCAATTTCTGAGCTGCAAACGGGCATAAAGGTGAGAAAATGTCGGATTTTGACCATTTGTGCTCACCTTTGAATGTCAACGTACCTCTCTATAACATGAGCCAGCTATGATGTCAGTGGTCGCATTGGATTGATTTTTTGTCTGCTTGTAGGGTGCTGGCACCAACATTCATTGACCCAGAAAATTTGGCACTGCTGTGAATAGTTTAGTCTCAAAGTGAAGATTCACGGGTCAGGTCGTTTCTGACAATGTGTGTCATTTCTGTTGTGGACTACCCTTTGCGTGTCTTTTGTAGGAATTCACGATGGTCACTGTCCAAGTTGCAGGTGTGAATAGTGGGAAAGGTGAGAAATGGTGAATTTTGGACCATTTCTGCGCTTGTGTTCTTTTCAATGTACCTGTGGGTAAATGGGCCCAGCATCAATGTGGGTGCTGAATTTGCTTTTAAATTTTTGGTTTCCTGGTCGGCCACTTTGACTCGTAGGCAATGCCCCAAAATTGTTGAGCCTGCTGTAACTGGCTTGAGTTTCAAGTCCGGATGCACGGGCAAAAAGCCCCAAACTGGGAGATAGGTAATTTTTAGGGTTCAGCAGCCCTGGGCAAGTCGTTTATGACAATGTGTGTCATTTTTGTTGTGCACTACCCTTTGCGTGTCTGTTGTAGATGGTCACTGTCCAAGTTGCAGGTGAGAATAGTCGGAAAGGTGAGAAATGGTGAATTTTGGACCATTTCTGCCCTTGTGTTCTTTCAATGTACCTATGGGTAAATGGGCCCAGCTTCAATTTGGGTGCTGGATTTGCTTAAATTTTTCGTTTGCTAGTCGGCCGCTTGCACTCGTACGCAGTGGCCCAGGAAATTTGACCCTGCTGTAACTGGCTTGAGTTCCAAGTCCGGATGCACGGGCAAAAAGCCCCAAGCTGGGAGATAGGTAATTTTTAGGGTTCAGCAGCCCTGGGCAGGTCGTTTATGACAATGTGTGTCATTTCTGTTGTGTACTACCCTTTGTGTGTCTGTTGTAGGAATTCACGATGGTCACTGTCCAAGTTGCAGGTGTGAATAGTTGGAAAGGTGGGAAATGGTGAATTTTGGACCATTTCTGCGCTTGTGTTCTTTTCAATGTACCTATGGGTAAATGACCCCACCTTCAATTTGGCAGCTGGATTTGCTTAAATTTTTGATTTGCTAGTAACCCGCTTGCACTCGTACGCAGTGCCCTAGGAAATTTGACCCTGCTGTAACTGGCTTGAGTTCCAAGTCCGGATTCACGGGCAAAAAGCACCAAACTGGGAGATAGGTAATTTTTACGTTTCAGCAGCCCTGGGCAGGTCGTTTCTGACAATGTGTGTCATTTTTGTTGCGCACTACCCTTTGCGTGTCTCTTGTAAGAATTCACGATGATCACTGTCCAAGTTGCAGGTGTGAATAGTCGGAAAGGTGAGAAATGGTGAATTTTGGACCATTTCTGCGCTTGTGTTCTTTTCAATGTACCTGTGGGTAAATGGGCCCAGCTTCAATGTGGGTGCTGGATTTGCTTAAATTTTTCGTTTGCTGGTCGGCCACTTGCACTCGTAGGCAATGCCCCAAAATTTTCACCCTGCTGTAACTGGCTTGAGTTCCAATTCCGGATGCACGGGCAAAAAGCCCCAAACTGGGAGATAGGTAATTTTTGGGGTTCAGCAGCCCTGGGCAGCTCGTTTATGACAATGTGTGTCATTTCTGTTGTGCACTACCCTTTGCGTGTCTGTTGTAGGAATTCACGATGGTCACTGTCCAAGTTGCAGGTGTGAATAGTGGGAAAGGTGAGAAATGGTGAATTTTGGACCATTTCTGCGCCTGTGTTATTTCAATGTACCTATGGGTAAATGGGCCCAGCTTCAATGCGGTTGCTGGATTTGCTAAAACTTTTGGTTTGCTAGTCGGCCGCTTGCACTCGTAGGTGGTGCCCCAGGAAATTTGACCCTGCTGAAACTGGCTTGAGTTCCAAGTCCGGATGCACGGGCAAAATGCTCCAAACTGGGAGATAGGCAATATTTAGGGTTCAGCAGCCCTGGGCAGGTCGTTTATGACAATGTGTGTCATTTCTGTTGTGCACTACCCTTCGCGTGTCTGCTGTAGGAATTCACGATGGTCACTGTTCAAGTTGCAGGTGTGAATAGTCGGAAAGGTGAGAAATGGTGAATTTTGGACCATTTCTGCGCTTGTGTGCTTTTCAATGTACATGTGGATAAATGGGCCCAGCTTCAATGTGCGTGCTGGATTTGCTTAAACTTTTGGTTTTCCAGTCTTCTGCTTGCACTCGTACGCATTGCCCCAGGAAATTTGACCCTGCTGTAACTGGTAAAAAGCCCTAAACTTGGAGGTAGGTTATTTTCAGGGTTTAGCAGCCCTGGGCAAGTCGTTTATGACAATGTGTGTCATTTCTGTTTCGCACTACCCTTTGTGTGCTTATTGCAGGAATTTACGATGGTCACTGTCCATGTTGCCGCTGTGAATAGTCGGAAAGGTGAGAAATGGTGAAACTTTGACCATATGTCCGCACCTGTTCCTTTCAGTGTACCTATGGGTAAATGGGTTCAGCTGCAATGTGGGCGCTGGAATTGCTTAGATTTTTGGTTTGCTAGTAGGCTGCTTGCAGTCGTAGGCAGTGCCCCACGAAATCTGACCCAGCCGTAACTGGCTTGAATTCCAAGGCCGAATGCATGGGCAAAAAGCCTTCAATAATTTTCATTCTCGGTCAATCATCCCGTCTGGCCGGAGCACCTGGAATCCCAATCCCATGGCCCTGTGTGATGTCAAAGAAGGATGTACATGTTGTAACGCTACGTTGCATTTTGCAACAGCTCCTTGTCTTGAGAAACCTCTGCTGTATGCACCTATTGTCTTGCAGCTTGTGTGCGTACATTGTCACAGAGACTGCAAGGACCGAGCAGTTCAAGCACCAGTGCAACTTGTGACATGACGAAGTGCTGGTGATGCAGAACGCGGAGTACAGTGCTACCAGTGATTGGTCAGTGCTGCTGATGCAGAACGCAGAGTACAGCGGGACCAGTGATTGGTCAGTGCTGCTGATGCAGAACGCAGAGTACAGCGGGACCAGTGATTGGTCAGTGCTGGTGATGCAGAACGCAGAGTACAGCGGGACCAGTGATTGGTCAGTGCTGCTGATGCAGAACGCGGAGTACAGCGGGACCAGTGATTGGTCAGTGCTGCTGATGCAGAACGCAGAGTACAGCGGGACCAGTGATTGGTCAGTGCTGCTGATGCAGAACGCAGAGTACAGCGGGACCAGTGATTGGTCAGTACTGCTGATGCAGAACGCGGAGTACAGCGGGACCAGTGATTGGTCAGTACTGCTGATGCAGAACGCAGAGTACAGCGGGACCAGTGATTGGTCAGTGCTGCTGATGCAGAACGCAGAGTACAGCGGGACCAGTGATTGGTCAGTGCTGCTGATGCAGAACGCAGAGTACAGCGGGACCAGTGATTGGTCAGTGCTGCTGATGCAGAACGCAGAGTACAGCGGGACCAGTGATTGGTCAGTACTGCTGATGCAGAACGCAGAGTACAGCGGGACCAGTGATTGGTCAGTACTGCTGATGCAGAACGCAGAGTACAGCGGGACCAGTGATTGGTCAGTACTGCTGATGCAGAACGCAGAGTACAGCGGGACCAGTGATTGGTCAGTGCTGGACTGCATAGTGTACAGCTACTGCTACTGCCGTCGCCGTTGTCACCATTCTACCCATGACCATCAGTAGGCACTGGTACTGATGTCTTTTGCAAATGTGCGTACCACTAGTATGTAGCCAGCCGCTAAGTAATAATCTACTGCTTTGCCAATGCACGGAATACATACCGTCTTTGCCGGAGTATGACGCGCACCTGAGTATATAAGGTGCACCCCCTCTTTTGAGCAAGGTTTTGGCAACTCATGGTATATGCGGATATCCTGAGTATAATGCGCCGCCGCCGCCTAGATTTGAGATTTGAGAACATTATCGATGGTAAAGGCAGTACTATAGTGCGACCATTGTCAGAATTTATCCCAAAAAAATGAGCATGCGTATGGCTTGCGCAGGGTCAGAGGTCAGAGGTGGCACACTTCACAGCAGTTTTACTAATTGTACTACTTCTCGAAGTACAGTACATGCATTTTCATATTTGCATAGTGTGCACCTGCGATTTGGGGCCAGAACGAATAGTGCCTCTAAAGTGCGCACTATACTCCGGCAAATACGGTAGTGTGACTTCTTCTGCAGCTAGTGCATGTGTGGTAGAATTTGAGTGCGTTGACACAGCAGCTGTAGTACAGCATATTGGTGTTGATTATGATCTCTATCCGTCAGTTCTCTACACTGTATCTCTACCCCAGTACATAGGCTGAAGACTACCCTGCAGTACTGTATCTCTACCCCAGTACATAGGCTGAAGACTAACCTGCAGTCATTATAATCTGTGCACTGTACTGCATCCGCGCCGCTCTGCTTTATTTAGCATGATCATATTCAGATGAGATGCTATACTACTCCGTCTGCAGAATCTGAACGGTATGACCTTGTACATATTACTGGTCTGAGTTCTACCTTAGACCAGTGACGGGTTAATTTACTGAGTCTCTAAGATGCTACTACTGGTACTATGCTGTCCCCGGGGAAAATCGCCGAAAAAATCGCAAAAAAAAAAACAGGAAAAACGCGGCATAATATGGCATAATTTGCGGTGAATTTGCGGTAAATATGCGGTGAATATTATTGATATTGCAAGTTTGCAGTTGATATGAGGCAATTTTCAGTGAGTATGTAGTGAAATCAATCAGTTACAAGTCTCTGGTGTAAGCACTCGTCATATTTGAGTACAAAGCCGCCACGATGAGACGTTGCTGACCGAACAGTGCACTGTGTGTACGTGTAGTGCAACAAAAAAGTTCAAAAAACGCGGGAAAATAGCGGAAAACGCGGTCTTTTAAAAAATCGCAAAATAACACGCGGGGAAAAAACGCGGCCGCGGAATCGCAGTTTTCCCCGGGGACAGACTGTGTACTTCAAGTATTGCATTGCATACTCGTATGCTACTACTGGTACTTTGTATTTCAAGTATTGCATTGCATACTCGTATGCTACTACTGGTACTATGTATTTCAAGTATTGCATTGCATACTCGTATGCTACTACTGGTACTTTGTATTTCAAGTATTGCATTGCATACTCGTATGCTACTACTGGTACTATGTATTTCAAGTATTGCATTGCATACTCGTATGCTACTACTGGTACTTTGTATTTCAAGTATTGCATTGCATACTGTCTTGTACTCTGGTCACGCACTCTGCTGCGTATTTACAAATGTACTGGAGTATGCTGATTTTGAGTACAAGCGAGTACAACCAAAAGCATGTGCTTGTACACTGCGGAACAGGTCCTGAGTTCTATCTGCAGAACTATGTGTGTATGCAAACCGTTTATTTTTTTCCTCTTCGATTGAAACAGTTTATGCTTGTATTCCTTGCAGGGCTTCATTATCACACGACTGTAAAGTGTATACTGCAGATGCCATGGTCATCAGTTGTATTGCATATCACCAGCCATGTACATGGACATGTGTTGTAGAGCTGCACTGTGTTCACACTATTCATGGCCGAGTCTGTCTCAGCTGTCCAATATCAAGACGAAAAGTGGGAAAATCTTCCGATTTCAGATGTAAAAAACGATAAAAACACAGTTTTTCGAAGAAAATACACAGTTACCATGGCAACCAGGCATAAAAACCACGGCTGCCATGGTAACCATGCTCTATTTCAGCCCATTTTCCAGGCTTACAGCGGTTGCCATGGCAACCAGGATTTCGTTGCGAATTGGGTTTTGTTTCCATGGTAACCCATAAATTTTCTCTGATAAACCTGGTTGTTTTTGCCTAAAACGATCCGATTCTGCAAAACCCTGGAATTTTGTTACCTGCGTAATTTTTTATGCAGAATGACCCAACCACATGCACAGTGCACAGTATTGATTTTAGTTTTATAAAGCGAAGTTTAATTGTAATGGCAAGAGTGTGGAAGGAAGAGAGGAGAGGACAAGCAAGATAAAAGTAATGAGAAAGTAATGAGAAGCAAGAAATAAAAAGGATAAAAAAAGAGATAAACCTGTACATCTAAGGGGGAAACAGTGAGTTGTGGAAATCCAGCATGTTAAAGATACAAAACGGAAGGACTCAATTGAAGTTGAAACAAAACAACAAAACACAGAAAAGTAAACTAATTATCTCTAAGAAAATACACGTAGAAAACAATAACTTGAAATGAATATGGAAGACTGAAAAGTTGACAAGTCCACATGTAAATAGTTATCAGGATACAAGAATGGTAAAGGAGCAAGATCACAAAATCAGTGTTGATCTCAATACAGTAGAACTTCCTTAAACTGCTTTACTATGCAGTACATTGTGAACACATGCGCAAAACCATTCTGTTTGCTAGGACGGCAACAGAACCAGGGAATTCTAGAGCATAGCAAAGTATCTAAAAATCTTATGCTCTGAAAACTGACTGTTCCGTGTACTTGCACAATGTGAATGGGGTGACTGTTCCGTGTACTTGCACAATGTGAATGGGGTGACTGCGCCGTGTACTTGCACAATGTGAATGGGGTGACTGCGCCGTGTACTTGCACAATGTGAATGGGGTGACTGCGCCGTGTACTTGCACAATGTGAATGGGGTGACTGTTCCGTGTACTTGCACAATGTGAATGGGGTGACTGTTCCGTGTACTTGCACAATGTAATTGGGGTGACTGTTCCGTGTACTTGCACAATGTGAATGGGGTGACTGTTCCGTGTACTTGCACAATGTGACTGTTCCGTGTACTTGCACAATGTGAATGGGGTGACTGTTCCGTGTACTTGCACAATGTAATTGGGGTGACTGTTCCGTGTACTTGCACAATGTGAATGGGGTGACTGTTCCGTGTACTTGCACAATGTGAATGGGGTGACTGTTCCGTGTCCTTGCACAATGTGAATGGGGTGACTGCGCCGTGTACTTGCACAATGTGAATGGGGTGACTGTTCCGTGTACTTGCACAATGTGAATGGGGTGACTGCGCCGTGTACTTGCACAATGTGAATGGGGTGACTTCTCCGTGAGCTTGCACAATGTGAATGGGGTGACTGTTCCGTGTACTTGCACAATGTGAATGGGGGGAATAGCAATATACGTACGAGTATAGAGGATCATAAAGCAACGGCATGATATCACAAAACAACGGTGGGTTATCGGTGAGTCGAAATGGTTCATTTACGCTGCAAGTACTACTTCTACTATAAGTAGACTCCAAAACTTGTTGTCTTTATTCAGAGTCAAATTTCGGTTGAACCATGCTGGAGAGACAGGCCAAACGGCCAACATTTTTCTTTTCTCTGGAATTCACTACTAGCTAAATTGAGTGTGTAATGAATTGAGTGTGTACTCTACTGTTGACGGTGGTCTCAATAGACAACTTTCCAATTCAATGCCATGATGACAAACTGGTCCAGTACAATGTAGTAAGGTCGGTAAGTTCACCTTGGTGTGAGCGGGATGCTTGCACCCGATTCACTAAGCTGACTACATGTAACTTGATATGCATATCAATATTCTTTAAAGCTGGCCCACTTATCCTGTGAGGCATGGATGTACACTCCGGCAGACAAGGAAAAGTGTCTTTATTTCCAATATGTCACTATTCAACCCAGGTCTTGGACTAGAAACAAGGAGCTGTGGGCAAACATTTCCATCATTATTGATGATCTGTCTTTGTTGCATATAATGACTGCATTGTCATGTACATGGCTATAGACATACTATAGCACAGGCACACTCAGCTTGTTTTCTGATGGCCAGGTCTGGTGGCCAGGTCTGATGGCAATAGCAGTCACATACATGGCACTACATTCTTGGTTAACTTTCATGTCTTGGTTCACTCGTGTGTCTTGCATGCCGGTACAGTGTGTTATAACAACATGATGTTTTCTCCTCATCCGGCCTGGCTGACAAAGTGAATTCTTTCTTGTGACTCAGAGTTAGTTTGTACCGACTTGAGTAAAACAGGGGCATGCGTGCACTGAAGAATGTGGGATCAACCTGATCGCCATAGTTCAATGCGCATGTTCCCAGGCTGTAGTGTGGTCTCTCCGCTCTAGTGTGGTCTCTCCGCTCTAGTGTGATCTCTCTGCCCTAGTGTGGTCTCTCCGCTCTAGTGTGGTCTCTCCGCTCTAGTGTGGTCTCTCTGCCCTAGTGTGGTCTCTCTGCCCTAGTGTGGTCTCTCTGCCCTAGTGTGGTCTCTCCGCTCTAGTGTGGTCTCTCTGCCCTAGTGTGGTCTCTCTGCCCTAGTGTGGTCTCTCCGCTCTAGTGTGGTCTCTCCACTCTAGTGTGGTCTCTCTGCCCTAGTGTGGTCTCTCCGCTCTAGTGTGGTCTCTCTGCTCTAGTGTGGTCTATCTGCACTGGTGGGCCTATTTGTTTACTGAACATGGAGAATTTACTTAGTAATGTCCCTGCAGCAGTAGCATTTTCTACCCTTTCCCTACCATTAGCACACTTTCCCCATCCTGAGCACACTTTCCCTATGGTACTTGCAGCGTAAATGGAGCACCTCCTACAGTGGTTATTAAGTGATAAACTAAAGAAAATAATATAAGACATTTTCAAATATAGCATAGCTCTAGCATTACTACAATGATGTCTCACTTCCACACCACCTTGTAGAAGTTTGTACAGCCTCTGCCATAGTTTAGCTCAGCCGGCAATAACTCAGAGAGTACTCCTCCCGTCGAAGACAGTATCTTGCAAAGCATATGTTTCCATCTATGGCGTACTCCCATACAAGAAGTGTCAGAGTACAATTAGCTTATCAGCAACCTAAGACAATGGATGCACAAACACATGCACACCCACATGCACACCCACATGCACACCCACGCACAAACACGTACGTAAAACACACATGCACACACTTTTAAAATTAATAAACACACGTACAAACACACACACACACATGTCCACAGACACACAGAAACACCCACCCACGCGCAAACACATACACACGCACGCACAGTCGTACACACACACACACACACCTTTTGACACCCATCGCCGGAGGCGATGATAGCAATGCTACGGCAGAAGCCATAGCAACTTGGGCTGGGATTGCACCATTCAACAGCTTGCAAGGCTGAAGAATTGATCGTCACTATACAGCCTGGTCTACACCATACAGCTATTTGAAGTGACTTTTTCTCGCCAGTGAATCCCTATTTTTGGTCTTCCCCCCCCCCCCCCCCCACACACACACCTCAGACCTCAGACATGCCCCCCCCACACACACACACCTCAGACCTCAGACATGCCCCCCCCCCCCCCACACACACACCTCAGACCTCAGACATGCCCCCCCCCCACACACACACCTCAGACCTCAGACATGCCCCCCCCCACACACACCTCAGACATGCCCCCCCCCACACACACACCTCAGACAAGCCCCCCCCCCCCCCAAACACACCTCAGACCTCAGACATGCCCCCACCCCCACACACACACCTCAGACCTCAGACATGCCCCCCACACACACCTCAGACATGCCCCCCCCACACACACACACCTCAGACAAGCCCCCACCCCCCCCCCCCACAAACACACCTCAGACCTCAGACATGCCCCCCCCCCCTCCACACACACCTCAGACATGCCCCCCCCCCCACACACACCTCAGACCTCAGACATGCCCCCCCCCCACACACACACCTCATACCTCAGACATGCCCCCCCCCCCCCACACACACACACCTCAGACCTCAGACATGCCCCCCCCCCCACACACACACACCTCAGACCTCAGACATGCCCCCCCCCCCCCACACACACACACCTCAGACCTCAGACATGCCCCCCCCCCACACACACACCTCAGACCTCAGACATGCCCCCCCCCCCACACACACACACCTCAGACCTCAGACATGCCCCCCCCCCCCCACACACACCTCAGACCTCAGACATGCCCCCCCCCCCCACACACACCTCAGACCTCAGACATGCCACCCCCCCACACACACACCCCTGTGCATATACGCATGCGCAAGAAAAAAAAAACGGTATCTTAGACCCCAGTATCTTAGACCCCGGTATCTTAGACCCCGGTATCTTAGACCCCGGTATCTTAGACCCCGGTATCTTAGACCCCGGTATCTTAGACCCCGGCATCTTAGACCCCGGCATCTTAGACCCCGGTATCTTAGACCCCGGTATCTTAGACCCCGGTATCTTAGACCCCGGTATCTTAGACCCCGGTATCTTAGACCCCGGTATCTTAGACCCGGGTATCTTAGACCCCGGTGCGGCTAACAAACAGGAAAACACGGTATGCATTCATGCCTAGTTTATCCAGGCGGCCTGGAACAGGGCACTGACCGTAACTTTGAAATTGAAATGTCCGTAAATCCGAATCACATACACTCTGATAGGGAAAGGCCATAGATATGGCATGTGACATCACTATTTCCACCGTAAAGTACCGTTGATCCGCCCCCTCTCTAGTTGCCACCCCCTGTCGATTTTCTGCCTGTGAAGCGACTTCGGCGTATACAACGAAATACGATGTTGAACCGACGCATGCACTGCTGTGCACAATACGTGCCAGTGCAGGATGAAAATGTGCACAATTCAGCACATCGAGTCTGAACTTCCATGTTGTTGTACATCGTACTGCACTTGACAGCCTTGATCTAATTCCCGCCCCCTGCCGAAACATCTCACCAGATAAGACGACATTGTGGATGGCACATGCGAAACTTCCAACAAGTTAACACTCGTGTGCAATTGCAACAGCGATACAACCTGAAATTCAATTCTGTCATCGCTGTCAGTCTGCTATTCTTTCCATGCACTCACCATCTCATAAATTTGAATGCCCCGTTCACTGTTTCCTGTAAAAGGTCAAAAACATCAACTATAAGAAGTCATGTCGCATCTTCGCTACCGGCAGCAAAAAAAGCAAGACATAAATGGAACATTTTAAATAGCGAGGAGGAAAGTGTGTAGAGGATAGCAACAACCTACTCCGTCACAACTGTTAGGCTACATCTCACTGAATGGCAACCACCTACCCAGCCAATTCAAAAATCTAGTTCAGCATCATACTATGCTTCCACATCTTCCCGTATCCTTTTCTGAACATCAGCAGAGTTCTAGCCAAAAGGGGGTACGGTGGCGGAGCACCCCGTACTCTGATTGAGCGCCCTCCTGTAAACAAAGTGTACAAAGTGACTTGTCGATTTTTGTGTTTTTCCGGGCTATTCAGCGAAAATACAGTCGACAGTCACTAACAGAGGATTCACAAAGGCACCCTTGTCTGGGGTGAAGTTGGGGTACGTTGCATTTTGGGTGGCAAGAGAATTTTGGAAAGCGAAAATGGGTAACTGTTTCCCCTGCCCCCCCCCCTCCCTTCTGCTATTTTTACCTGGCTAGAGTCCTGACTAGTTGGAGACGAAGTTTCGAGGAGCAATCGTCCCGATGCGAGCACAGTCAACTAGGTTTGGCTATATATATATTTCCTAGATGCACCAACGCGCAAAGTAGCATATATATAATATTTGAAAGAAAGCAATTGCTACGGTGCAGCAGCAGACACAAGGAAAATATACTGTTGAAGATTCATTAAAATCCACCATGGAGACATCAATCTCAGGACTCGGACAAGGAGGCGTCGCACTCAAATCACAAATCCATTTCATGCACAAGTACTGTACGATGTTTGATGCAGCGCTGCACACCGGTTTATCCACAAAATCTAATTTTTCAGTTGTGGCTGCTTGGCCTGATATGAAGCTGCATAAAGTGTCAAACAAATTCTAATTTATTATTTATTTTTCAGTTGAGGGTGTTGAAAAGGGAAAGGGTCTGAAGAAAATTTGATTGTCACCATCAGAACCAGGGTTGGAACCAGGGACCTTGGCTATAGGCCAACAATGCTCTACAGTCAGTTTCAAAAAGATTAGCAATCCTGGCGATCGCCCGGGGAGTTTGCCGTCTTACCGTATGCGCGATCGAGAGCTGGCTGGAAAAACTCACTGTGAACTCGAAGAAATAATCCGCGCGAAAGCATGAAAAATGACAACTCACTCACGTCGGTACATGTATGGCTGGTTTACAACAAACGAGTTCTTCCTCGTATCGATATGGAGTCAGAGAGGACATGTCGAAAGTGTGGTAAATGTTGACGAGCGGGATGGGTCCCAATTCGTTTCGTGCCCAATTTCTTTGAGCTGCGATGCAATTTACTCTCACGATGTGACGAAAACGACATCGACACAGACTCATTCCCAAGGCCATGACTTAGCAAAGCTATTCGTGTGACTTCGACGACATTTTGAGAAAAGCAGACGCCTGTGAAAGCTGATGGAAGACAGCATTTTTGTTTGTATATTTAGAGTCGAAGAACAGGCAAATTTGCCTAATTACATGATATCGACTAAAAAGGAGAATAAAGTATAAAAGGCCAATGAAGGTAATGATACTGAGTAGAGTGGGTAATGATACTGAGTAGAGTGGGTAATGATACTGAGTAGAGTGGGTAATGACACTGAGTAGAGTGGGTAATGATACTGAGTAGAGTGGGTAATGACACTGAGTAGAGTGGGTAATGACACTGAGTAGAGTGGGTAATGATACTGAGTAGAGTGGGTAATGATACTGAGTAGAGTGGGTAATGATACTGAGTAGAGTGGGTAATGATACTGAGTAGAGTGGGTAATGATACTGAGTAGAGTGGGTAATGATACTGAGTAGAGTGGGTAATGATACTGAGTAGAGTGGGTAATGATACTGAGTAGAGTGGGTAATGACACTGAGTAGAGTGGGTAATGACACTGAGTAGAGTGGGTAATGATACTGAGTAGAGTGGGTAATGATACTGAGTAGAGTGGGTAATGATACTGAGTAGAGTGGGTAATGATACTGAGTAGAGTGGGTAATGATACTGAGTAGAGTGGGTAATGATACTGAGTAGAGTGGGTAATGATACTGAGTAGAGTGGGTAATGATACTGAGTAGAGTGGGTAATGATACTGAGTAGAGTGGGTAATGATACTGAGTAGAGTGGGTAATGATACTGAGTAGAGTGGGTAATGATACTGAGTAGAGTGGGTAATGATACTGAGTAGAGTGGGTAATGATACTGAGTAGAGTGGGTAATGATACTGAGTAGAGTGGGTAATGATACTGAGTAGAGTGGGTAATGATACTGAGTAGAGTGGGTAATGATACTGAGTAGAGTGGGTAATGATACTGAGTAGAGTGGGTAATGATACTGAGTAGAGTGGGTAATGATACTGAGTAGAGTGGGTAATGAAGTATTAAAAGCCAGTTAGGCCAGTAAAGGAAATGATAATACAGCGGGCAGTGGCATTACTGAAAAGCAGCATGTGCTGGGAGGGATCGCATGAATCGCTGCTACTGTGGGATTTTCCTGATGTCGGGCTGGAGCCTGTTCCACAGTGATACACATTGGAATGAGGCAGAATGTGTGCCAGCAGATGTCTTAGTGACTGGAAATTTAAGTGCTCGATTTCCCTGACTACGTGTGGCACGGCCGGCATTAAGAGGACTGAACATATCGGTAAGCAATGTGCTGCATTTACCCTGAAGGCAGCGCCAAGTGTAGCCAAGGAGCTTGTGGCAGTACATAACTTCTAGCGAGTGCAAGCGCAATTGGCAATACAGCGGCGCAGATGGGGATGCAAATGGAGCGTTCTCAACACAGTGGACTGCGCGCTTGAGTAGACGCTCTAGGCGCTCAAGCTGATGTGAGGTGAGGCCAGCAGAGAAACAGTTGCTGACATACAGGAAGTCAGGAAGGATCAGGGACTTCAGGTACGTGATGCGGCATGGGAGGGGCATGCAGCGCCTGTTTCTAAACAGGACAGCTATTTTACAGGCAGCTCGCTTGGCGATCTGGTTGACCATGGTGGTCCACTTGAGATCTTGGTCCATGTGGACACCAAGATACTTTGCGGATTCTACTTGTGCCAGTTGAACTCCAGAGCACATAACGCTGACACGAGGATTCACAGAACGATGGGCAGGGATGAACAAAATCTGGGTTTTACTCTCGTTTAGTACCAGGTTCCTGCTGGCAAGCCATCTGGCCAGGTGCGTAACTGCAGAAGACATACTGCGTTCCAGCTGATGTTTGTCCCTGCTACTAATATAGAGCATGATGTCATCTGCCAACTGAACTGTCGGCACACCATACGGTTGCACTTCAGCTGCCACACCACGGACATAGAGGACAAACAGCAGAGGACCAAGTACGAAACCCTGGGGCACACCACTGCTGGGCTGAAATACCTTGCTGTGCTGGTTCCCAATGACAACTCTTTGCTGCCGGTCACTTAGGTAGTCTGCCAACCAATTCAGCGCACTTCCACCAATACCAATACTGAAGAGGTCGCGGATGAGGGTGCCATGTTGAACCTTGTCGAATGCCTTCGACATGTCAACAAAGGCAGCGCAAGTTGAGAGTCCGGAGTCTTTGGCATTGGCAAAAGCCTCCGATGCCATCACAACAGCATCCTCTGTTGAGTGCTGTTTCCGGAATCCGAACTGGCAATCTGGGTAGAGGCTGTGGGTGGTCAAGAATTCAGTGAATTGTGAATGTACGATGCGCTCAAGGATCTTTGAGATAATCGGCAACAGAGAAACAGGTCTGAAATTGGTGGCCTTAGTAGGGTCGCCGCTCTTGTACACAGGGGTGATATTTGTAAGTTTCCTGGATAGTGGAAATCTCCCTTCGGAAAGTGACTTGTTGAAGATGAGAGTTACTGATGGAGCTAAGAGGTCAGAGCATGCTGCTAGTACAAGAGCAGGTACGCCATCACTGCCCGTTGACTTTGTCGTATCTACACTGTTGAGCAACTTGCGTACACATGCGATGGATACTGGCTTGAAACAGCAGAGATCAGTACTTGCATGCGGACCAGAGGGGATGGACAGCACCTTTGGGCGAGTCGCATCGGTGACTATGTCCGCAAACACTTGTCCGATTTCATCCGGGGGGCATTGAGGAGCAGTGTGGGTCCGTGTTCTGCCTGATACGCATTCACTCATTGAGGAGCAGTGTGGGTCCCCCGTGTTCTGCCTGATACGCATTCACTCATTGAGGAGCAGTGTGGGTCCGTGTTCTGCCTGATACGCATTCACTCATTGAGGAGCAGTGTGGGTCCCCCGTGTTCTGCCTGATACGCATTCACTCATTGAGGAGCAGTGTGGGTCCCCCGTGTTCTGCCTGATACGCATTCACTCCTAAAATCAAATAAATTGGCGATCTTGAAATACTAAAATAATTCTCAAAGAGAAATCGATCGATCGATGTGCCGTTGTATTCAACAACACGTAGCTACAGCGCAATGACTTCCGTGTTCACTCACACCGTTTCAGTGTTGTGGGTGTGTTCACATGGCGTGAACCAGTCAAGTGTCAGTAAGTTCGGCAGGAAACGCGAGCTCCAACAACAACAAGTCGTTTGGCGCAGCCACCTTCTTTGGCTTGTACTTTTTGTACCAGCGTGATCACCAAAACAATGAAAAAAAGTTTGACTTATAGATAGTTTGGGATTTGAACTCACAACTTCATGGTCAGCAGACAGCATTCATAACCACAAGGCCAAAAAGGAACAGATAAATCGTGGGCTTTGATAAAAAAATCGATACTGACATCCAGTGCAAATTGTAAACCATGGGAAAAGGCCGGAAACCTGGCCGAAATTCTAACTCCCTGACGGCTGGTCCAATTGTTCCGAAACCTTCACAGAACAATTTGCCGTGTCCTAACAAGCCATTCTATGTGCTTTGTTGTCCAAATTTCCCTTATCTTCATACTTTTTAAGACCAAAACCTGATTGATAATCTTTTTGAAATGGACTATAACCACCGAGCTATGGTGTAGCTGACATACCAGCAGAGACCTTTCAACATTTTCTTCAGACATCGAAACTCATGCTTTCTGTGACACTACACAGGCTAATGTTAACGCACAAACTAGTACGCGGAGAGCCCCAAATTATCAAACATTTATCAATACTAAGTATTATCAGTTGAGGCTTCATTGCTTCATTGCTTCATTGTTTATCATAAACAGTTACTTCTTAGTGGTGGAGCATCGCTGGACATAAGCGAGGGTGCCTGATTCGAGTCCTGGTGGAGACAGTCAATTTTATCTTCAGACTTTTCCCATTTTCAACTCCCTCAACCTTATGAATATCATACTGTAAAAGCCATTATTCTAACGAGGCGGCGCATATATAACCATTTCCCAAAACTGACTAGTTTACGTGTACCAAAGGTGACGATTCTCACGCATTCTCAATGCTCAATAGAACAGTATATGTGTCGATTTCTGTATAACGATTTATATTTTAACGACAGATTTCTCCTCGTTAACTCGTTAGAGTTAGCACTTCGTTATATATATGTTTCCCGTTTGTCTCTTTCCCTCAAACCAGTTAATATTTTATGACTTGGGGCTCCCCGCGTGCTAGTTTGTACGTGAAGTGTGTGGGTACAGTGAGGGCTGCGTCCCACCCGCCTGTGTGGATTCACAGGAAGTGTGAGTTACGAAGTCTGAAGAAAACGTTGAACGGTCTCTGCTGGGATGACGACTACACCATAGCTCAGTGGTTAGAGCATCGCTGGCTACAAGCGAGGGTCCCTGGTTCGAGTCCTGGTGGTGACAGTCAATTTTTTCTTCAGACTTTTCCCGTTTGTCTCTTTCCCTCAAACCAGTTAATATTTTATGACTTGGGGCTCCCCGCGTGCTAGTTTGTATGTGAAGTGTGTGGGTACAGTGACGGCTGCGTCCCACCCGCCTGTGTGGATTCACAGGAAGTGTGAGTTACGAAGTCTGAAGAAAACGTTGAACGGTCTCTGCTGGGATGACGACTACACCACAGCTCAGTGGTTAGAGCATCGCTGGCTACAAGCGAGGGTCCCTGGTTCGAGTCCTGGTGGTGACAGTCAATTTTTTCTTCAGACTTTTCCCGTTTGTCTCTTTCCCTCGAGTATATATATATATAGCTTGCTGTCTACAGCATGGGGTATATATATATATATACAGTCGTCCCTCTCTAATCCGGCACTTGTTTATCCGGAACCCTTGCCAACCGGCGCACTTTCTGACGAAACCGATTTTTTTCGTTCAATTCCTACATCTTAATCCGGCACTTGAATTCCGCCTCCGGCAGTGACTTTTTGAAACGAATCGCTCAATCTGCACGTAGTTTGATTTCATAATCCGGCAGTCGTAAATCGCGTGCCGTACAGGTGCACTCCTTGCCAGGCCAGGCTTGGCCAGTCTGGTCAATCGGCAGTCAACCATACTTTCTTATTTTAGCAAGGAGTAGTGTCCTGCCAATTTTCAGGTGTGTGTGTGTGTGCGTGTGTGTGCAAGAGTACATGTGAGCATGTTCTCTGTTTTACTTTATGACTTTATCACTGTGTATATTCCCGGAGAACAATTGAGAATATAAAGCCGTGCACCAAATACTTGGGTCGACACGGAAAAACCCTGCGTTTTGATGTATGATACATGCATGCAATTGGATAGGGCGGGGTCAGAGGGCAGGATTTCTTAATCCAGCACCCTCGTTAATCCAGCAGAAAACGCCGTAGCAAAAGGTGCCGGATTAGAGAGGGACGACTGTATATATATGAGCCGTCAGATGCGAAAAGGGTGCTTATGGCATCACGGAGCAAATAGAGTAAAGTGCGTCAGAGTGACAGGCTGTCAAGTACCTGTCACATGCATGAGTGAATCTTGATGTGACGTCATTTTTTCGATCGTTGCGGGATATGGATGTGTGTGAGTGTGCATCCCCGGCCCGGCGCTGGTATGTACACTAGCGCACTGCTGAGATTCCCAGCTTTTCGTAGATACTTCAACCGGCCTGAAACTCCAAAGCACGGCGGATTTACATACAAAAGAAACTGCCTTTTTTGTGGCGCAGTTCTCACGAGCTCCGTTCTGATTCTGAACGAAATTCTTTTGTCTCCTGACCTAAATTGACGATATCTTCATGATGGGTTTGGATTTTTGAGTCAGGTTTTTTGGAGGTGAAGCATAAAAGCCTATAGAGTTTGCTTGAGTCCTTATCTCAATTTGACCAAAATATGCCATAAGCACCCTTTTCGCATCTGACGGCTCATATACGGTGTGACTTTTACAGTATTTCAGTAGTTACTTGAGTGTGCAGGGTTCAAGCCAGATCAAAATAGTGGGGTCGGGGGGGGGGGGGGGGGGGTCAGGGGAAACAGTAACCCATTTTGCAAATATTGTCATGCCATGCCGAATGCAACGTACGGTGGCGAACCCTTCACCCCAGACAAATGTGCCTTTCTGAGCCCCCTCATGACTATCGACTGCATTTTCGTTGAATGACATGAAAAACACCAAAAAAATCGACAAAGGAGGGAGCGCCACTTTTTCACAGGGGGGGGGGGTCAATCAGAGTAGGAGGGCACTGCCCCCCCCCTTTCTATAAGTTCCAAACGCCAAACAGTAAACAACTTCTGCCAACAAAAACTCTCCCCTTCTCCCTTTTTCCCCTTCTCCCTTTTTCGTATGATATTATGCCCCCCTTCCCCCCCCCCCCCCCTTCCCATGCCACACCCTCTACATCACACACCCAACCTAAACACATCCGACAAACAAATGCACAATCACAACAGTTTGTTCAACTAGCAATTCAATGTCAGTTTTGAAACTATCTGTGCTCACCTGTGCATGAAATCCGTTCTGCTTTCCACGTTCGACAGTATTCCGCTTGCTGCGGTGAGTTTTCTATGGCAGCCCATCCGTGCATGAAAATTTGTCTAATACGGACAGGATTCCACTTTATGCAGGGACCGCTAAGCCCAAGTGGCATCGTACTTGGAAAGGAGTCAAGAGTTGGCCTGTACACCAATTATAAAAGCAGATACTGGACAAAAAGAAATGTTACGAAATCGCCACAAAGGGTATGGTGAGCACTGATGCGCACTCTACTCTAATTACCTTAATCTTGCGCCCGCCGTCTTATAGTGGAAAAATCGCTGTTTTCTGTCATTTCACTAGTGCTTTTTCATTCAAATAGAAGAACATGGTCAAATATAAGAACATGGTCTTATATGCCAGAGACAAACATCGCATATAAGAACATGGTCTAATACGTGAGAGACAAACATCGCATCAACATGTATGTGTGCAATTATACCTCACTCCATATGCACTTACCGTCTTAGGCATGCTCTCCCTTAGCGGTGTGTGTATCTCCATATACACCGATAAGGGAAATTAGCAGTAGTTGTCGGCGAGGAACAAGCCATTAGGAGGTCACACACGGTGAATATGGAGAGGTATAAATATATCATAACAAAGGAACCTCGTGTATACCGAGATAAATATAAAAACCTCGGCTTCGCCTGGGTTTTCATATTGGTGTATATGTATGTGTAGATACACTCGGTCACTCGGTTCCTTGTTATCATATATACTAGTACATGTACGGCACACAGCGTGCATGCATGCTACACACATACATCACATGCTAGCATGTGCAGCGGGACGGAGATCGATGTACAGTGTACGCATCTGATTTTCATTCACAGAGGTGGTCTAATATTCGAATATGAGACCATGGTCTTATATGCGCTAGATTACGGTATGTGGATTTTGGATAACCAGATTGCCACCAGGCTGGCACAAATGAGTTTGTGTACACTAAGGTAAGTTTTTTTCTCGCTCTGTTGCTGCCCCCTCCTCCCCCCCCCTCTCTCTCTCTCTCTCTCTCTCTCTCTCTCTCTCTGTGTCTGCCTGTCTCTGGCTCTCTGTAGATGAGGAAGATGGAGACGAGAGCACCGAATTTTACCCGTGATAAATCTATCCCACTACGTGGGGTCTCGATTCACCGGTTCAATATCAATATGATCAAAAGCTGTTTACCAGTAACTCAGCAAGTTGACCATCTTCTTTTAAATTTGCTTTCTGTAGGTCATATTAAAAGGTCGACTTCTAACCAGGAAAATACGGTAGTTGTGAATGGAGTATGATGTCGAGAAGGAGAAGAAGAAAGATGGAGATGAGTGACAGAAATGTAGCTATGCCCCCTCCCACAAAAACGACTTTGGGGACAGAAACCGAGCGCTAGTGCAACATACATGATAGAACTAAGAACACATCATCACTATGCAAGCATAATTGCTGCATTGCCTCGTCCGAATCACACTATCACCATACCAATCCATGCCTACAACCTGGAAGGCAATACCCATCATCATGTCCAGCTGTCAATGAATTGCATCCGTCACAAAATAGCTAAGCTTCAAGCAGCCCAACAAGAAGGAGTGAGGACTCGTATTTTCTGAACCATACACTACAAGATAGTGGACTGTCTCCGTTACCACCTGCGACATTAAACAAAGAGTAAATCATCGTGTCCGTTCCCCGAAGGGAACTGGGACATGCTGTCCAAAACTATTGCACGTTTACTTGAAATAGGCATATTAGAATAAGGGACATGCTGTCCAAAAATGATTGCACGTTTACTTGAAATCGGCATATTAGAATATTTTCACACTTTACCACATACTACTTGCACTAACAACAAAGACAAATTTCCTATCCATTGACCACGGACAGTGCTTTCTTAAAGGGGCACTCCGGCTTCATTTTCGACGCCGAGTTTTCGATGCCAAGACGAAGGTAGGTGAAAGAGAAAACCCCTCGAACAAGAACGAGTCTCCAGAAGCGATCGAGTCGAGCAGGAAGACGACTTTTGCATTTCGCCGAGCGAGCGCTGATGACGTAATGAGGGATTAGCTTGCCAGTGGAAATGCACCTGCGCACATACATTTCACACACTTTTTGGCCAATTTTCAATCGAAGAGGAGGTTGTTTGCTATGTTCTCCCAACGTCGTGAGCGATCCCGTCTTCTATACCCTTCCAGGTACCCTGAAGGTCCTCCAGAGGGGAATTTATCTCCAGCAACGCTTTGTTGATCCGCTAAATTCGTCTCGAGACATATTCACCCAGTGCAGTGCTGATAAATGTAGAATGTTGAATCTGTGATAATTGTCGACGATGGAGAGAGCGGTTGATAGCCGCTGTCGCAGGGAGAGTGAAGCTGCTGGAAGTAACAACGGGGAGCCCGTTTGTATCACCTGACCAACCAGACTTCAAAGCAGCTTGACCAAATCGGAGGGTGCCTCGTTGCTTATCGTGAATATTACACCGACATGAATTACTACAAATAATTATGCTGGTGAGTTTTTATTTTGTTTTGTTCGTATGCTAGTACCCTGGCCTGGAGTTCTCGTTAGCAAATTCTTATTCCCTCATGCGTTTTCTAAACATTCCGTGTGGTACTGAATACGTGATCAAGTAGGTAGGCCGATTTGGGTAGATGTGGAATTTGGACATGTATTTTATTAAAAAATTCTATTTTCCAAATAGAGCGTTTGTAGAGAAATGGTTGCCCAAATACAACGACATTGATTCTGCAGTTCTACAACTTGTACTGAAATCCAGTGAAATTAAAAATGATTCATGACAGTTGGGGTCAATGAAATCTGATCCAGGCATAACGAATGGTGACGCCTGCCACCCCGGGAACGAATGCCCACTTGGCATGGGATACCAAAGTACTCGAAAGTGGTGTGTGTTTCTATGTGGCATTTGGAAGTCTTAGATGATCTCTGGTCAATGCAACATATGATAGCCATCATGAATTTCAGGCCTCGAATGCAACTCAGACCAGAATTGGCAGTTCCCTAAGTTAGATGCTTTATAATTCCATGGCCCCAGCTGTAATTATAGAGGTTTTTTTGCACATTATTCTTATAGTCGATAGGTTTATACTGATGGCCACAAACAACGGCAGTTCAAACTTCACTGATGTGTTCATGAGCTGAGAGATTTCTCTCCACTATTTCCGTTGTGCACACAGGTCTGTCCAATATGCATTGACCGTATTGGGTATGGTATCTGCTCTGAGAAGGGAATCGCTGGAGCCACAGTCCAACTACACAGGCTTTCAAGAAACAGAGAGGAGCCATCTTTGCAAGCTGATACCTGATGTGTACCGACAGAATTCTCACGAGATACCTTAAGGACCACGTCTGGTGTATACTTCATAGTACTCCTTCGACTACTGTCTAGAATCAAGTCGACGGAAACAAGTTCAAACAACTCTGGCTTCAAACGAGCCGTCGATTAGACAAACAAAACATTCTCTCATTTACTAGAGCACTCTGACAACTCATGACCTATTCCTAACGATTGCCACCGCTTATAAATATGTAGAGTGCTGATTGGAAGGTGCTCACAATCTCAACAATCCAGTGCTATAATTATTCGAACAATGTGTTCGAAATTATTCCACTTTTCCTTCCATAAATGTTGTATCCACATATAATCCACAGTGCTGCAAAGTTTCAGAGTTCTCAGGGTATCAAACAAAATTATTTCAAATACAGTGAAATTGTTCGTGGACATTATAGCGTAACTTGTAGTTCCCTGTTTCTTTTCTTTGCTGTAAATTAATCCTTTGCTCTCTAGCCGCCGGCGAGTCCAACAGTGAAATTGTTAGTTCATATTTATAATGTGGGCATATGGAAGGGGGGAGGGTGAACATATTTCTATATAAGGGACCTGCAACTGTAATACCACAGTGCAGTTGCCGGCAAATATGTAGAAAACAGAAATGCATGTTACCATCATTGTACATGGACGGGCGCAGCAGGCCGAAGCTATCAGCTAGAACAGGACTTACAATCACCTAGAGATACTTGAGCTATTCCAGTATTCTCCGTGAGCTGTCCGATTCCACAATGGTTCATGCCACCATTATTTCTGGTAGTATAATTCCAAGACCATCTCAGATTCTTCAGCAATTTGTGCCACGGCAAAAGACAACGCTTGACTCGGTCACTGGGGCTGTCAAACTTCCCATCACAAATGAACTTCAATTTCTCATCTGTTTCAAGTATATGTACTGCCATGACCTGACCATGCTTCATCCACAGCTGGGCGAAGATTGTGGCGTTGAATTCCATAGCGCACCTTCTTGCTGCCATGCAGGAGTATGTTGAGAGAAGTGAACATATTTTTACTAAAAACAACAGCCACTGAAGAGGATAGCAATAGCCTTGGGTGAATTTCCTGCAGGTACACGTTGTTGGTAGGTCTACTGGTCCGTCTCCATATCGTCAAGTTCAGAAATCACCTGTACTACACATCTTGTAGAAGGGATCCTGATCGAATAATTCCTGGTCATAAAATCCACTATACTGAGATCGAGACAAATAGTCAGTACTCCCCGATTCCGTCAAGCTGCTTTGAAGTCTGGATGCTCATGTGATGCTAACAAGCCGCCCCATTGTTACTTCCAGCAGCTTCACTTTCCCTGCGACAGCGGCTATCAACCTCTCTCTCCATCGTCGACAATTATCACAGATTCAACATTCTACATTTATCAGCACTGCACTGGGTGAATATGTCTCGAGACGAATTTAGCGCATCAACAACGCGTTCCTGGAGATAAATTCTCCTCTGGAGGACCTTCAGGGTACCTGGAAGGGTATAGAAGACGGGATCGATCACGACGTTGAGAGAATATAGACAACAACCTCCTCTTCGATTGAAAATTGGCCAAAAAGTGTGTGAAATGTATGTGCGCAGATGCATTTCCACTGGCAAGCTAATCCCTCATTACGTCATCAGCGCTCGCTCGGCGAAATGCAAAAGTCGTCTTCCTGCTCGACTCTATCGCTTCTGGAGACTCGTTCTTGTTCGAGGGGTCTTCTCTTTCACCTACCTTCGTCTTGGCATCGAAAACTCGGCGTCGAAAATGAAGCCGGAGTGCCCCTTTAAGCTCCGATAACAGCCATCACGCTAGAGACATGTATGCCAAACACT